GGTAAATACACTGATGAGGGCAGGAAGATGAGAAACACTGATGAGAATCGCTAAGAAGAAATTGGACATCTACAAACAGTTTCATGGAAGATGGAATGATCTGTACAACCTTTGCTGCTGCTTCTCTACATGGAGGAAAAAATGTTGATTCAGCTCTTTGAAAAGTGGAAGCTCTAAAAGTTGGCTCATAAATTCTAGTATATAGAATAAGAGCATGGAAAAGCTGTAGAAATAAGATTTCTCCCCCCACATTTCTATTCTACACATATGAGGGGGAAAAAATATGAATTTTAAATGGTTGTTAACGTGGCTTCAGTGCACTGCTCTATAAAGGAGATCTTGTAAGTTTTCCAAATGGTGATTTACGTTTAGGTTCTGAAACAATAAGCCTTTTTTTTTTTTTTATTTTGACAGAGTACAGCTTCATCTCAATAACTGTGACTAAGATTCTAGTTATGTTCTATTTGGAGAATATGAAAAGATCTGAGTTTGTGTACTGCAGTATGTTTCATTTGTTTTCCAATGACTGGCAAAGACCCCTGGAAGTATTGTAAGAGGAAGATTTGTCGCTAATGGGTTTTGTTGGTAGTGTGTATTTTTTAGTAGTTTGGTCAATAGGGTATGCACATATTAAAAGAAAATGCACTGCTGTAATAATGAAATAGTAAACAAACAAGCTATAAAGCACAGATAGTCTTTCATTTCTATAAAGCTCAATTTGAACTGCAAGAAGAATTTCTGTTTAAAAAAAGTCAGTGTGTTTACACACTTCAAGTTTCATTCACATTATGTAAGGCAGTTGAATATTTAGATGTTGTTGCTCTCATTAGAAAAGATAATTTTTTTGTGTAAAGCATATAAAATATCTTTGAAAAGTACTGAGAGGAGATCAAATAATTTTCTCTTTTGTTTAGTTCACACACTTACTAGCTGTGTATACAGTAAATTTTATTGTCTGATTCCTTTGCTTAAGAGGAATTTTCACCTGCATGCACTTTTTTTTTTTTTTTTTTTTTTTGTTAACATTGGAAAGGTGATAGTAAAAGTAGACTTACATAGAGCCATCTGGCCAGGCTGGATCGATGGGCCAAGGCCAGTCGTATGAGGTTCAACAAGGCCAAGTGCCGAGTCTTGCACTCAGGTCACAACAACCCCAGTGCTACACGCTTGGGGAAGAGTGGCTGGAAAGCTGCCTGGCAGAAAAGGACCTGGGGGTGTTGGTTGACAGCCAGCTGAATACGAGCCAGCAGTGTGTCCAAGTGGCCAAGGCGGCCAACAGCATCCTGGCCTGTATCAGGAATAGTGCGGTGAGCAGGACTAGGGAAGTGATCGTCACCCTGTACTTGGCATTGGTGAGGCCCCACGTCGCATACTATCTTCAGTTTTGGGCCCCTCACTACAAGAAAACACAGAGATTCTGGAGCGTGTCCAGAGAAGGGCAACAAAGCTGGTAAGGGGTTTAGAGCACAGTCTTATGAGGATTGGCTGAGGGAACTGGGGTTGTTTAGCCTGGAGAAAAGAAGGCTGAGGGGAGACCTTATTGCTCTCTACTGCTAGCTAAAAGGAGGCTGTAGCGAGGTGGGGGTTGGTCTCTTCTCCCAAGTAACAAGCAATAGGACAAGAGGAAATGTCCTCAAGTTGCACCAGGGGACGTTTAGATTGGATATTAGCAAAAATTTAGTCACCAAAAGGGTTATCAAGCATTGGAAGAGGCTGCCCAGGGAAGTGGTGGAATCGCCATTCCTGGAGGTATTTAAAAGACGGGTAGACATGGTACTAAGGGACATGGTTTAGTTGTGGTTTTGGCAGTGTTAGGTTCATGGTTGGACTTGATTATCTTAAAGGTCTCTTCCAACCTAGATGATTCTATGTATGTATATGTATGTGTGTACAAATATATATGTCTTTAAATAAGTTGTGTGCTGAGTTAGGTTAAATTAACATCCATGATCTAGATTTCCTTCAAGTCTGACTTTAAACCTCTGTCTTTATACATATAGTAACAAGGAAATCATTACATGTAAAGTAGTGTCAAAAATTATGTGTTCTTTAATGTATGTTGTCCAAAATATGTTGGGACAGTGTTTTGTTTCTTTGCTTGTATTATTTCTAGACCCAGCTGGTTCAGTAAATAGTGGATAGGTTACCTTTGAATGTATGTATAAGCGTGTGTATCTGAATAAATGGATGCAGTTATTTGCATATGTTGTGATCCATAGAGTTAAAGAAATTGAGAAATTGCCAGTCTGTTACACTTTAAAGGGGCAGTGATATTGCTTAAAATTAAATTTTACTGCCTTTGTTAAACAGAACAACTTTGAAAGAACATCTGAGAATTCACAGTGGAGAGAAGCCTCATCTTTGTAGTATTTGTGGGCAGAGTTTTCGTCATGGAAGCTCTTACAGGTACAGATTTTTATTAAATAAGCTGTCTCGCTTAGTGACATATATGCATTCATGTCATCAACAAAATTCTTCATAATGTATGTGTTTTGATTTATTCCAAATCTGAGAGCATTAGTAAATGCTTTAAACATGCTTAAATATTGAAAGTGTATTAATAACCTGTGAGAAGTAATTTAATTTTTAATACAAGATGTTAGTGGTTTAAACAGACAGAATCCCATACAAATCTTGTATCAAAGTTGACTGTCTTGCACATCTGAACCTTTGACATCTTTGTTATTCAAAGACAAAATAAGTGGAGGACTAAAATATCCTCCTAAATTGATGTCAGATATGAGAGTTTAGCTCTGTTCTCTCTCGCCTTCTAAGAGCAGTTTAAGCATACCTCAATTGAAAGTTAATTCCTCTGTGAAGCATTAAAGAGACTGTTTTCTGGTATTTTGCAATGAAATAGCAGTACAGATTATGTTAACAAAATTGTATTTTAACAACACCGTATTTTATGGTTATATTTATGACTATAAATATACAGACTTCATCTGAGAGTCCACCATGATGACAAGAGATATGAATGCGAAGAATGTGGGAAAACATTTATTCGACATGACCATCTGACAAAACACAAAAAAATACACTCAGGTAGGCATTTTCTTTGAAAATTGGCTTTGAAATTATCATTTCGAAATAAGATTAAATAAAAAATTAATTATGGCTTTTTTTTTCAGTACGTGCAATGTTTTAGGCCTGATAAAAGTTCCTCTCACTGTTTTTAATGTCTGTTAAAGGAGGGTTAATCTTAAATGTTTTTAAGGTTTAAAAGCCAAGTGTTTCCTCCATGTTACCATAGAAAGCCGAGGGACAGTCAAAAACATGTAACAACAGTGAATTGCTTTAAAAATAATAATTAAAAAAAAAAAAAAAGCAAAAGTGAAAAAGGAGGATTTTTTTAATGAGTTCAGATTTCTTTTTTTTAATAGCAATTGTGTGAAACATCATTACCCCAACACAAAAGAAGCTGTCAGTCTCTGTCCAAGTTTGTACACTGATCACTTTAATGTAAGAACATCTAAGAGGTGTTTCTGAAGTCTCTCTTACGCGAAAGAAGGAAGGGAAGGAAGCTGGTGGGAGTCAGCCCTGAGAACAACGAGATGGGGATTATCAGGAGGAAGAAAAAAATATCTTTCTGTTGTACTGAGAGCAAAAAAGGTATAGGAAGAGCGAAAATTCACTAGGGACTTCTCCGTTTTCAGAACGAGATCCAAAGGGAATGTGGCCCTCTAGGAGGCAAAATACCTTCTAGGCAGCATGAAAATATGAAAGTGATCAGAGTCTAAACTTCCTCAGCCTTTATTGTGAAGGACAGCTTCTTTTTTGGTGTTTGCAATCATAATGTCTGCTATAAAATAAAGAAATCTTTGAAAACTCAAGTACAAAAAAAAATCCTCTTTTCTACTCTATTTGCTTTCCCCCTCTCTAGAAAGTTACATTCTTTGACTGTCCACACTCCTCCTACTTACATGAGAAGAAATATTCTGCCACTTTGTGGAAGATCTCAAGATGACTAAAAAGAATCAAGATACTTTTAAACAGCAGCATAAAAGAAAAAGGTAACTATGGAAATCAGGATAATTAAAAAGATAAATACTGTGATATAATTTTAAGTTCTAAAAACTACTAGCTGAAAATAATTGGTATGTTTAAATAAACTTCTCTTTTCAAGCCCCTGAATTATTGAAGATACCGCATTTCAGGTCATAATGAAGAGAGTAGTCATTCATTTGTGCGTCTCATGCAGCAGGTGTTTGAGGAAGTGTCCCTTAACTTATGAACATGAATTTCTCTGTAAAAATGACAAACAGTCAGTAAAAGTCGCATATAACAAATGGTAAAAATCCTCACTCTGGTAGAACCAACTTACTTCCTGAATTTTGTTCTTTGATAACAGAGTATCCTTCTCAGAGTAAGGTATGGAAGAGCTTGATTGGCTGGACTTTGTGAATATGAATCTACTGTATGTCTTACGATTACAGCTCTTAGACATTTAATAAGTTCCAGAAGATTTAACCAAAATGTATTGAATTTTGCCCTTGTAGGTGAAAAAGCACATCAGTGTGAGGAATGTGGAAAGTGTTTTGGTCGTAGAGATCACCTTACTGTTCATTATAAAAGTGTACATCTAGGAGAAAAAGTTTGGCAGAAGTAAGTATGGGGTTTTTATAGCTGCATAAATACTTCTGTACTGTAACTGATTTGGTTGGGGCTTGCATGTTCATGCAGAATTCTAGTAGTCTGTGTGTTTGTTATGCGCATTACCTTAGTCTTGATAGAGATATCGTTATTATGGTTTGAAATTGCCTTCACAATTTAAGCAAGATGTATTCTTTGTAGCATAATTAAGTAAATAAAATAAAAACATTAAAAGGATCAAATTTTAATTTGTCATTAGCTGTCTCAATGTTGTTCTAAATTGATGATTTGCTGTAATATTGTCATTGCAGACTAGTTAAGACTGAATTATTAGACATCATTGAAGCACTGTGAAAACTATCGCACACTTAGGTATTTTAGAAGCTGGTAGCAGATTAGTGGCTCTGAAAGGAGGTAAAAACTTTGAAACCCAAGTTATGTCTTTAAATTGAAAATGCAAGAGGGTTTTTAAATTCTTGAGCTCCAAAAATAATCCTTGCAGAGATTTTCAAATACACTGAGACTTAGTTGTTTTTCAAATGATGTGTTTTAATTGCTTGTCCTCATTAGCGTTGCATAGAACCCATTACAGATGTGTCTATGTTGAAAGTACAGTACATCATCTGCTTATTCTCTTTGGGTTTTTTGGTGGTCAATAGCCTAAACCACTCCTAGTACTTTTTTTTATGGCATAATTCTGTCAAAGTAAAAGCCTCTTGTGGATGCTGGGCAAAAAATGTTACCTAAGGATAAGTCTTAGTGGCTTTTGCGCTTTGAATACTAAGTGCCAATCCCAGCAGAGAATAAGACTGAATATCAAAAAAAAATCTAATTGACCTTATTGGTATATGGAAGCCAGGAAATAGGAATATAAGTGAGAAAATTTGGAAACTCTGATATTCAGCTATTTTGCAGGTAAAGATTTCAGGAAAGACTGTGCACATAGCTTTATTGTTAATTAGTTTAAGAAAAATGTATCTAACAAAATGTCTTCTCTTTAAAGATATAAAGCAACGTTTCACCAGTGTGAAGTCTGTAAGAAAGTTTTTAAAGGGAAATCAAGTTTGGAAATGCATTTTAGGACGCATTCAGGTAAAAATAAAATAAATGCAAACAAAACCACAAAACACGTAGGAATGTATTTTTATGCATGAATATAGATGGAATTATTCATTATGTTATGGTTGTTGAGCATTCAGGGCAAGAGTAGCAGGAAGCAGCAAGACCTTTCTTTTCTCATGTGTTCGTCATTCCTGAACACTACCTTCTGAATGTATCAGTTTAAATGCTGATAATCCTCAACACAGGTTTGTAGTCTGCTCTCTGCACCTCTTCCTTTAGTTTAGTGGTGGATGCTCTTGCCAAATTTACCCAGACCTTCTAATCATTTTTGTGATCCAGAGAATACTACATTTCAAGGGGTAATCTAAGCAAGGATTTGAAATCCCTTTAGAAAGGTTTATGTCTTTATATGTTTGACTTTGTTTTTCCTGCCTTATGTTTAGGAAAATCATTGTCTTTTTGAAATGTATAGAAGTACAAATTAAGCTCATTTAATACCAGTATCATAACAGTTTAAAGACTGTTCTTTTTTATTTGGTTTATATTCTGATTGTCTTCATGTGTACCTGACAGAAATCCCAAGTATTGAGAGAACTGTAGGTAAGGAGAAGGGTATGCTAGTATAACTTCTAAACAAACTTCTAATGGCTCCCTCGATTCCAAAGTTGATACTAAACACATGCTCTTTGTTTTCAGTAAAACTGTTTTACACTAGGTCTCTGAGCCATGATCCATGTGTGCATTTGCATATTTATGTGTGACATGGTGTTATTCCAGAATAACTAATTGTTACTTCTCTGTCTTTACAGGCGAGAAACCGTACAAATGTCAAATCTGTAATCAGTCTTTTAGAATTAAGAAGACGTTAACAAAACACATGGTTATTCATTCAGATGCTCGACCTTTTAATTGCCAACACTGCAATGCAACATTTAAACGAAAAGACAAGCTGAAATATCATATCGATCATGTTCATGGATCAAAGGCTGCAGAAGAGGCATTGACATCTTCTTCAGAGGAAAAGCTAGTCTCCTTACCAGTGCAGTACACCTCTGATGACAAAGTTTACCAAACTGAGGCTAAAGACTACGTGGAACAGTCCAAAGCATATCAATCAGAAGCCAAAACTTTGCTACAGAATGTATCTACAGAAGTATGTGTGCCTGTAACTCTGGTACCAGTTCAAATGCCTGATCCGCAAGCTGATTTAGTACAGCATACTACTCAGTCACATGGCATTCTTCCTCCACAACCCGAGCAGACAGATTATCAACGAGCAACAGATCTGTCATTTCTAGAGAAATATACTCTAACTCCACAACCCGCAAATATTGTTCATCCTGTAAGGCCTGAGCAAATGTTGGATCCTAGAGACCAGTCATATCTTGGAACTTTATTGGGGCTAGATACAGCTCCTACTGTACAGAATATTTCAAACAATGAACATTCATGATCAGACCATAACATTCCACCCAATTTACTAAGCCGTTAGCCAACAGAAGGCTGATAAGGCAATTAAGATTTATATTTTATATTTTATTTGGACTCATGAGTCTTCTGCGTAGTTTTGGAAAATCAGGTTTGTTTACATAATATTCGAACATTTAGGCACA